TGAAACTCCTGGGTGTCCGGAAACCCTCGGGCCTCTGCGCGCTTCCCGGCTCAGAGTGTAAACGCGGCTTCAGAAGTAGAGAGGGTTCGTCAGGTATTGGGGAAAGATTGAGCTCCCAAAGTTGCATGAGCTTTCGGGGCTGCAGCGACAAACCCTTCAACGTAGACATGTGCTTCAATCCCTAGAGCAGACATTGAGTTGAAAAGCTTTTGAACCCGCATGGAACCCTTAAAGCACCCTGGCCACCCGCTCTTTGCTCCCCTCCTTCAGCATCTCCAACAGTGCCTTCGTCGCGGCTGCAAAGTTGCCGCCTATCCGACAAGGACCGCACGTTCTTGTTGGGGGCTAGGGCCTCGGGTTTAGAGCTTTAAGGCTTTAGGGCTTAGGGTTTAGGCTCAGGGTCGAGGGCTTTAAGGCTTTGGGTCCGAGGGTTTTAAGGCGTTAGGGCTTCGGGTCAAGCTTTGGGCTTGGAGAGTTGGGTAAGGGATGCTTCGCTACAGAGCTTAACGATTTTTTTAGCCTCGCGGTGAAAGATTCATTGATGCTCTGAAGTTCAAGCTGTTTGAAATACAAGCTAAAACGGGCGCGAAAGCCTGCTAGAAGGGCCAGGCACTTCAGAAAAAATGCGGGGCTGCTGTGGCTGATGTGGACAATCCTGCAGTATCCATAATGGGGAATAACGGATCTTTTCCATGAGGCGTACGTCTGTTTACTAGTTCCGAATATCCTATTTGCGCCTGCTCCACCTGTCTGCATCTCCACCTGGGCCTCCAAACATACCATCACAACCTGAGATGACTCTACGGTTATGGGTAGTTCTCCAAATTAGGATACCTTTTAGCGCCCCTGTCATGCGCGTGCCGCACTAGTTTGGGGACCTAAAAGGGGCCCTATATAATTTGGAGAACTGTCCCGTATATCTACGACAGACAGACAGACAAAAACCTCCAAATCGTAGGCCACCAGCCGTCAACACCCCAACCCTCAAGCTCAAAGCCCTGAGTCGTGCATCACTGAGGCTCCTAGATAGCCTGAACCGCAAGGCCCAAGGGCCAAAACGTAAACACGAAGCCCCGAGCCGCCCCAAGAACCAACCCTCAAACCCCAATGCCCAGAACCCAACGCTCCACACACCCCGTGCCCTGAACCTAAGCCCATACTTAACCCCTAACAAGCCAAAAGCGCTCGGAATCCAAAACTTAAACTACGGAAGCCATGCCCCCTCCTTCAAGCCAGAACTCAAAGCCCAAGACCAACCCCACCCTTGCCTTCCATCATCCTGAGAACGGGTGTCAGGCGGTCCTGCTCGCCACCCCTACTCGAACCTAAACTCTGACCTAAACCTCTAAACCCTAAATAACCCTAACCTAAACCTCTAAACCCTAAACCCTCACCTAAACCTCGAAACCCTAAACCCTAACCTAAACCTCTAAACCCTAAACCCTCACCTAAACCTCTAAACCCTAAACCCTAACCTAAACCTCTAAACCCTAAACCCTAACTTAAAACTCTAAACCCTAAACCCTAGTGGCTCGGCCCACAGTTCGGGCTGCTCGGCTTCGGCGGAACAAAACCATGATGAACACAAAGCCCTAAAGTTTTAGGTTGGGGTTTAGGATTTTAGGGCTTAGGGTTCATTTGGGCCGAAACCCTGTAAATTGGGTTTTGGGTTAGGGTTTAGGGTTCTGAACTCTGAATTTCACGCTCGCCATCTACTGCCTGACGCTCGCGCATGTAGAAGCCGGAATAACCAGCAATGCTCTTTCTAGCCCTCCCTTTTGAGATTGTTGCAAAACGTACCCCAAACCTAGTCTACTCGTGTTACTGTAACCTATCTCCTCATCTGCCGGAGCTTGCTCTGCCACTGGCTGATCACCAGCCTGACTATGCATAGGGCATTGGTGAGTTCCTCACGGGTGATTAATAAGCAGCAGTTTGCAAACAATTTCATTGCTTTCGCCATTCCAGAGTAAGAGACCGCTTGCTTTGGCCGAAAAAGGCAGGCTATTTGGGCTACATGCACGGTTGAAACAGCACTGGTTTCGCTGCAAGCAAGACTGTCCGAGACATAGACAATAGACGCCTAATAAAGAATATTAGCGACTGATAGGCCCCCATAACCTTTATAACCCTTTAAATGTCCTCAATAGTGGGTGATGTATCTCCTGATATGATCAACCATCAGGGTCCAATCAATCTGGGAGATCTTTGGTGGGGGGACAGCTTTGATGTTTTTGGCTAACCCTAAACCCGTAGAACTTTTAGCTACAGGTACCCTTGTAGTAACCTCTAAATCAAGCCCTGTGCAAGCCCGAAAATCATCGCTCTCCTGCAAACCCTACTAGGAGGTTCATGGGTAGTTATCAGCAGGCTTACAAGTCATCTAGATTATAACCATAGCTACCCTACTTCTATCACTACTTCTCCCCAGCAACCATAACCACCCTACCTGATTCCTACTGACCCCCTAAAGGTCATAACCATAGTTACCCGACTCACATGTGTATATATATATATATATATACATATATACATCTCCCTACTTGTAACTAGCCATGAACCTCCGAGTAACCCCCGAAGGATTAGGGTTTAGGGTACTATTGGGGCCTTAATACTTAGAATGGGGTTTTCGGTCCCATTATACTCATAGTTACAACAAGGAACCCCCAAAAAAAGCATTGGTAATTATTTAAGCCCCTTCCTTATAGTTATAATAAGGAGCCCCCCTAAAAAAAGTATTGGTATATTATTTAAGCCCCTATGGGCCCATTATACTTATAGTTATAATTAAGGAACCGCCCAAAAAAAGTATGGGTAATTAATCCGCCGAGGCCACAGGCCCAGGCGTCTTGGGGGTTACCTCAGGTACCCTCCACCTAATCCTCCTCCCTGCAGTCCAAATGTTTGGGGACACCCGTTTTTTGCATTCCTTTGCCACCCCCTTGCCCGGCTTCCCTTCATTTTACTCCCCCCCCCTCCCCATCCCCCCCCTCCCCTCCTCCTTCCGCCCTCCCTTCCCCTCCCTTTCTTCTCCGCCTTTTGTGTGCAGGCTCCTTCCGTCTTGGGTCCGGCCGGGAGGCTTTAACAAGTTTGGAGGAAAAGAAGCACCCCCCCTCCCCCCCCCCCCCCCCCCTCCCCTCCCCCCCCCTCCACCCCCCTTGTGCCCGTTCTCCTCGCACTTCTATCAACAACCGTGTAAAGGTGGGGTTTGACAGGCCGCCCTAGCATAAAAAAACATCGACTGCCCCCTCGCCCTGCCGCTACACAGCCGAGGCGGGCGGCGTAGCGTTAAAATTAAGGAACCCCCCTAAAAAAGGTATGGGTATATTATTTAAGCCCCCTGTAGACCCCTTATAGTACTCCTTCTAGACCCCTTTAAAAGGAACCCTTAAAGGAACCCACTGATTCAGGCCCTACATTAACCTGAAACCCTAAACCCTGAACCCTAAACCATAAACCCCCTGTAGACACCTCCGGCCTTCTCCTCTTGCTTGGTCTCCCCGGTGTCCTTTGCCTCCTCTTCGCCTTCATCCTTGGACCTCTGCTATGGCTTTTGGGGCGTAGGATTAAGGGTTCTGGGCCGAGGCTTCAGGGTGTTGGGGTTGGGGTTTACTTCGAGGATCATGGGACTTAGTAAGTAGGTTATAATTAGGGTTATAAGTCCCCTAAGTGGGTTTATCCTAGTTATAACCTACTTCTAACCTTACTTACTAAGTCCCATGAGCCTTCAAGTAGGGCTTCTGGTTTATGGTTTGGGTTTAGGGTTTATTGAGGGTTTGGAGTTTAGGGTCGGGGTTTAGGGTTTGGGGTTGGGGGTTTGGGGTTTGGAGTTTAGGGTTTAGGGTTTGGCCTTTCTGGGTGGGCTCGGATTCTGACTGAGATGCCGACATCTTCTCGGAGCCACCCGGGGATGAAACGGCACTCTCCAAGCCCGAATACGGCTGCGGCGTCGCGCGTCTGTGGCCAAAGGCAAAATCGAGCCGATACTCCGAACCATGATCTAAAACCCAACTGTGCGATACTCTAGCAATTTCCTGGTAGGCTTGAGAGCTTCTAGATTCTAGAGTGTGGCGAGTTCTGACAGGGATCCCGAGCTCTCTCTTGCGCACACCTCCTGTCACACAAGGCGTGGCAAGAACGACGGCTAATGCTTACTTTGCTCAGCCTTACCCTCTCCCAGTTGCCGAATTGAGCCCCTCCAACTAAGTAGTTGTCAAAATTAGGGTCCCTTTTTGGATACCCCAAATATTGGGTGCCGTATTATTTCAGGGACCCAAAATGGACCCTAATATTGACAACCACCCAACTGGATCCCCTAAACCCGAAACCTTAAACCCTTCTTTTGTCTTCGCAACAGCCCTCCCAGTCTTCCTGCGAGGTCTCTTGAACGCATCATTTCATGTGAAACAAGGGCAAGCCTTGAGCCTGAAAGAACTACTCAGACACATCTTTTGCAGGATCTTCAGATGGGTCAAGAGCAGGGTGGCAAAGAAATCTTGCGGTGGCTTAATGTTTAGGGTTGTCCTGACAGCATCTGGGTGGTTGTCGAAATTATGGTCCCTTTGTGGGTCCCTATTACAATACGGCACCTATTACTTAGGGTACCCAAAAAGGGACCTTAATTTTGACGACTACCCATCTTGACTTCTATCCAGGACCTCCTGCATGGCCAGTGGGGCCTTGCAAAAAATCACCCGCCAGGGACCAAAGTGCCTTTCTGCTGTGACAGCTTCTAGGCGCACAATGACATCCTTCGCAAGTGAATCCGAAACTAGTTCGAGTCACAGCAACGCGTACGTATTTATCAAGTCTGTTTGCTGAAAGTAACAACAAAGGCCGCAGCTGCCTGGAAAGCTTTAAGGCATGGACGCCTGATGTCTAGCTATCACACATTGGATTGGGCAGTTGGCTTCCCAACTCCGTGCACAAGCACACCAGCACCCGAGCTTTCAAGAAATGTACTCAAGGGTGCCAAAAGTCTCACCCATCTCCATTGAAAATCAGAACGTCCAACTCACCAGATCGTCGTCTCCTTCCGTCGAGACGGAAAGGGGCAGATTTCTCTGGGCTGTCGTGACCACGACCTCCTCGGCTTCCTCCTCCTCCTTCTGCGTCGCCGGCTGGACCGCGGGCGAAGTCGGGCGATCTGCTGGCTTCCTGGGCTCTTATCAAGGGGTTCTAAATGAAGTTACCAATAAGGGATCTAGAGTAGATAATATATATGGTATCCTTAGTATGGTAACTTGAAGTAAAGCCCTTAACAAGAACCCAGCTTCCGGGCGCCAGGAGGTCGACATCTCTGCGAGTACACCGCGGCCAGCAGCAAGGAGAAGGGAAGCGCTGGAAGTAAGCTCGGGGTCTCCGTAGCTGCCCTCGTGAACTCCACCACATATGTTGGCCCATTACCAAAGAGAAACAGAGGAGGAAGCCTGGGTTCATAGGAAGGAAACCATATTATTGTAGATCCCTACTTAAAGGCCCAGGGGACTTAGTAGGTAGGTTATACGTAGGGTGATAAATGGGGTGACTCCACTTAAGGTACTTATAACCCTATTTATGACCTACTTACTAAGTCCCCTGGGCCTCCAAGTATGGCTGTGACTTAAATTAAACCCCTTAACAAGAACCCAGGAGCAAGAGGCAGGAAATCAACTTCCGCTTTCCTTGACAGCACTTCTCCATGCGAAGGCCCAGCAGACAGAGCCACCAGTAAACGTGGAAGTACCAGAGGATGCCAACGGGGAAGACGGCCCAGTGCATGCAGCAACGGACCCACCAAACAAGGAGATGAGAGCCCTCGAAGGAGTGTTCGTTCTCGATATAGACGGGCAGCCAAAATACCAGACTGGGTAGGCTGGCCGCCCACACCAAGGTTGAAAAGTATGACATGCACGTCCGCCCGGTGCCGACCGAATCCAGGACTATTGGCAGAAGCTCCTGCTGTGCCGTCTGGTTGAACTTCTCCCAATGGGGTTCGTCGGAGGCCTCTTCTTTCTCCTGAGGAGAAGACAGGCTTTGAAAATACCACTTCTTCACGGTCTCCAGGATCAGTTCTCGATCACAGGGCAGCGGTGCTTTAGTTTCCGGATGGATATGGTCCACCGAGCAGCAAAAGCATCTGCAGTTCTGAATTCGAAAAGATCTAAGTTGATCTTCGAGCTCCGCCATACTCCCTGCCACACCAATGCCCGCATGTAGGCACAGAACCCCAGGAAGTATAAAGGTAATCGCCAAGAAGCCGGCAATGGTTACCGTTTCTACAATCCGTTGGCTTTGCCCAGCAGCTTGGTTTCCCAAGCCTGCCGCCAACAACACATACATCAAAGAAACACACTGCGTGGAGCAGAACATGCCGAAGAAGAGGACGGCCAGCTTAGTTGGCATGATCTCAATCGAATGGCGAGTGGAATGCCGGAGGAATGTGGCTAACTCATAGCAGCACCAAAGCCTTGAAAAATAGCGCGGGCTCCACAAAATCGTGAGCTTCTTGGAGCGGTCGAGGAAGGCGGCCAACCCCAAAATTCCTTTTTGCTTCAACACGGCATCGTCCTGTGAAATGCAGAGCTTGTCCAAGAAGACCATCTTCGGCTTCGAGACGATGGAAAAGCTTCGCTGTGCGAAGCACAGGAAGGTCCAGAAGAACAAGTAGCTGACCAGTGGTAAGAACACCTGGACACTTGGTCCAACGAACATGGATGCAGCAGCAGTAAGAATGCTGGCGACCAGTGCAACACGAGCCGCAGGCTTGGTGTTGAAGAGAACCATCATTGCAAGCAGCTTCTCCCAGCGCGATGTCCCCCAGTCATGACCTGGGTTCTGGTTAAGGAACTTAAATTAAGATAACCATATTAGTTACTATAGATCCCTATCATGGTAACTTAAATTACGATCCCTTAGTTACCATAATCAGGAAACCATATTATTTACTATAGATCTCTATCATGGTAAGTTACATTAAATCCCTTAACAAGAACCCAGCGACTGAGGAAGTTGTCGAAGTCCTGCGTGGCCCGGCTCAAGCTGTAGCTGCTCCTGGCAGGAAGGTGAGAAACTTAGGGTTTGGGGTTTAGGGTTTTGGTTTCCCCCGGCCTATCCGGACACCCAAACCCACCCCAGGCAAACATGATAAAATTCGGAAACCCCAGGGCTTAGGGCTGAGGGTTTAGGGTTCAGGGTATAGAAGCAATCAAACCCCGAAGAAAGGCCAAGGCTCTGGACGGTGTCGGAGTCTGTGCCAGTGCTACCACTGCCGTTGTCTGCCCAATGCTTTCCTGGGTCGCTCTTGCAGAGCCGAAAAGGTATTTTTGAACGTGAACCTCCATGGGGCTCCTTTAAGGGTTCCTTTATGGGTACCGTTAAAGGGCTCCTTTACATGACCACGAGGGAGATTCAACAATGCCCTAAAAAACAGCCCACTAAACACCGTAATAAATCCCATGTATCCCAAGTTGCCACCGAGTTTCCCCAACCCGACAAAGCCACATGCAGCGGAATACCTCGCACAAGCTCCGGTTCCAAGTCTACCTGTAATCCACCTTGGTCCATCTGTTCAAGCCCCACCATCGCACTTGGAGGCTGCAGGGATTTAGCAAGTAGGTGACAACTACACGTATAAATAGGACAACTGGACATAAGGCATAAGCTCTAGAACTTGTACCCCGGGTCCTCCGTGCAGGAGTGGCCGAACGAAAACCAAGCAAGTGACGACACTTGCGATGTTAACATGTTGATATATCACAAATTTCGGATAAACTCTACTCTTGTCAAGTCTCTGCTGCGCACACGAATCCTACACACCAGAGCTGAACGATGTGCCCTACGACCTGAAGCTGTGAGCCCTGACAAAGAAGAGTTCCGAGCCCTGGGTGATGCCGTGTCTTGGCTCCGGCTGTGCCCAAGAGCAGAGTCCGAAGTAACACATGCCATTACACAAGAACAATCACTAAACGGGCTGGCTCAGACCTGTCTAGAACACAATGCCAAAGCGTCCAACTTAGCATGTCGTGGAACAACGACTGACTGCATCAAAGCACGTTCACATACGGTCGTGTGGATACCGGCACCAGATCTACGTCGCTCCGCTACTTGAAGGTTTTGAGCAGAAGCCCACGTGCCACTCAGCAGTGCTTGCGAACACAATCGAGCAACACAAGAAGCTGCTCGGAAGAAGTCGACCGTGCATATCCCGAAAGGGTTCAGGATTTAACGTTCAGAGTGTTCCTGTGTCGTTCCAGCCCCGCCATCGCACTTTGGGGATGTTTGAAACTTAGTCAGTCGGTGACACATAGACTTCCAACTACGATAACTAAATGGAGTTGAAGTATAAGCTCTGAACATCTAACCCGGCCCCCGGGTCCTCCATGCAGGAGTGACCAAACGAACACCAAGCAAGTGCCCACACTCAGACTTGAGATGATTCTGCTACAGTTGACATATCGACATGTGATGTAACTCGCGGCCATGACACGGTACCCTCACATGGACGTCATGTCATAGAAGACATGAAGCTGGGAGCCCGCCAAACCAAGTAGTTCGGAGCTTCAGGTTTCAGAACAAGCGCTTGTGTCCCAGCTGCAGCTGTGCCAAAGGAAGGCCCGAACCCTGGAACCCTACCCAATAAACCCTGGCCCAGAAGCCTGACAGCTTGATGTGATGACATCCATTGGTAAAGGTTCTAGGATCACGACCTCCAAGATTGTGCTTGCTTGAAAATGAAAAGGGGGCTCTAAAGCACCCTTCGTCAAACCCTGTTGCGCTGTCGGGCTTTTGGCTCCAACCCACGTACGGCTTGCTGCAGGAAACCTAACACGTCGGCATGAGGCCGGGCTAAAATGTCCTGTAGCTCTTGCTGCATGTCCGTGGCACAGCAATCGAACAGAAAGGATGCGAGGAACCTAACCCAGTGGAAGGCAAAGAGCAAATCCAGACTTGCGAAGACCAGAATCCTATTTTGTGGGGTTCCTTATTATTTGTGTTGTATAGTATAGTGGGCCCATTGTTAAGGCCTCTAGAGTAGCCGAAGCACTACACTCCAGTCGGTGTCTCACTCTGCCAGGTGAGACAATCCGGCGTCGCAATGGCAGCAAAGCGCCAAAATCTTACTCCTCTTTGCCAGCTTCACCCTCTGTGGCGTACAACTTCACAGTGAAGTTGGCGGAAGCAAGCCCCGCATGACAAGCGCTGGCGCTCGTTCCCATCCGACCTCCTTTGGTCCAAACGCCATGAAAGCGATGCGAGTGGTACAAAAGGCAACGAGATCGTTACAAGGGTCCCGGGAGCGTGAGTTGCGGGGGGCTTAAGACACTGCTGCACCAGATTACTCCCACACCAGGCCGGGTCAGTTCATGAAATCCTGTGTAGCAGCATGGGAAAACCCCGCAATCGGGTCAAACTAGACAAGTGATATTCGGCAGGCAAAGCTACCTTCGTCTACCTTCGTCCTGGGGTCTGCGGCAGGAAGACTGGTCTACGCCGAATCGTCAGCTAGGCCCCAAGCAGCCTTGTGAGCCCCCCTGGCCCGACCCTGGCCTTTGGAGCTCTTATCCTGAAATCCCGCAAGTCAAGAGCAGGACGAAGCTTCCGGTCGCCCCCAGACGAAACCCGGAACTCGCATCGAGAGATGCCTCCCGGAAGCAAAACGAAGCTCCACGCAACTGCGGTGGAGCTTCGAGGAGGGAAGCTTCAAGTCTCCAGCAAGCAGAAGCCGGGAAGGACTAGCCATGATCCTGCAGATGGCGTTCTGCGACTAGGCGGGAGGAAGGGCCAGGCGATGCCACAAAGGGGAGCAAGCTTGGGTATGTGACCAGCCGATGCATCACCTGGCGTCTAAAGATGCCAGGCTGCGATGATACTTGTGCAGGCATGCTTCGCTGCACCAATGCCCAACGCAGTCGCCACTCCATCCGCCCTTTGCATAGTTTGCACTTCCAACGCCGAGAGCATGCCGGACTGACCAGGGCCTTTACTGGGTTCTTGTCAGCGGATTTAATTTAAGCTACCAGAGTACGGAACCATGTTATCTACTGTAGATCCCTGTCATGGTAACTTACCCAGTTTAACTTCTTGCTGCCGCCTTCTCGGGGGCGATGCGCCGCACGGCAACTGACCATGTGACCCCACGCGAAGCATTAGGGCCTCCTTGCGCAACCTGCTTTGCGGAGGCAAAGGACCAGGCGTTCGCGCACACTTTACAGATCTTTCAGGTGCCGAACATTTGATCAGTCGCGCGTGAGCTCACAAAAGCCATAAAGCCCACAGCCTGTTAACTTGAAGCACCTCGGCCAAATTAAAGGATAAAGCCGGTTGAATCGCCCGCGCGGTTAAAGCCGAAAACCCTTGAAGTTTAAGTACCCCAACGAGCGACTGATTCAAGACCACTCAAGCATGATCCCCTAAATTCGAGAGGCACATTCTTATGCCAGGCCCCGCTCCGTGCGAGACGGCAGCCTTTCCACCAGGCAACTTCAGCAACTAATAGCGAGGCCTCCACGGGTAGCATCAGACTTCGGCTTTGCGCAAAGCGCAATGAAAACGAGGCTGTGTTTGATTCCGCGGCTTTGGAGATGTTTGCCGGACTCTTCCCGCTCCCTCCCGACATTTCCTCTACGCATATGTTGCAAAGAGCTGACCTTGGCCGACAGCATTGCGGAAATTTCCGTCCACCAGTTCTAGCCGAGCCCGTCGAGCCTGTTTGTGCAACGACTTGGAATGCCTGGTGGTTTGTTGTGTGTGTGAAGGCTCACGGGCTTTGGAACCCTCATCTGGGAACTCCCAGGAACAGTCAGAGCACTCTCGGGAACCATCTTCAGGCAAGGCTTCGAACAGCTGAGAGCCACTCGGAAGCAGCGGATCGAAGCTGCCCTGCGAAGCTCGGAGGAGCAAGGGTGTCCCAGGGTTTAGGGTTTTAGGGTTTAGGGTTTAGGGTATAAGGTTTTAGGGTTTAGGGTTTAGAAACAAGAACTGAGGCTCGGCGAGGAGCTGCTTGTAACGGCCGGTGCCGGCCATCGAAACGCGTGCTGGCACGCTGCAAATAATGTACCGGCGCTCGGATGCGTGGAAGAACCCTGAGTCGAAGGACCCTGCGGATCATCCGATCGGAGAGATCCCCACTCGACCGAAGCCTCTCAAGAGACTATCGGGAACTTTGGGCTTCGGCTCGAAAGCTCACCTGCAGCTTCCTTCACGGCTTAGGGAAAGACGGACTTGGGCGGAGGGCTTCGGGATGACACGTCAGATGTCTGGCTTCCACCACCTCTGCGGCATTTCCTCAAAATAACCGCCTCACTGAGCAAGTCTGCAGGCTCTTCCTCCTTCGAAGCAGGAAAAGAGCTCCAGAACAAGCTGATCCACACGCCGAAGACGGCACATCCGGCCCAAGCTGCATTGCACCACGGCTCTGCGTCGCCACAGCGATTGGCGATGGACCAACCTGCCGATCACAACCGAAGACGGGTTGGACTGAAGTGCGGAGGTTTGCGAGTTGCTAAAGCTATGGATGATCCTTACTAGCTTGAGTGGGACTCAGGATCTAGTATGATCCATGGTCACCACGAGTCCTTGTGTTCTCTGCACAGCACTTTGTACCGTCGGTGCTGCCAAAATGCCAGCTTGCACCTGCATATTTCTGGTCACAGCAGAGTTACCAAAGGCTGTTATCAATGTTATAGTCTTGGGGTTAGCCCTCCGGCTCCAGGAACATGCGCAACGGAGAACGCCTTCCACAAGCCCTGCATCATGTCGCATCGCAGCCGTTTGGGCGGCTCTGCCGCTGCCACATACAACACTCACCGCACCTCTGAAAACCCCCGCTTCTAGGTGGAAGAAGATAGCTGCTTTTTCGGCATTGCGTGCCTCCACCGTTCCAACCTTTGCTTGAGACGGGGCGTTCCCGGCTCCGAGCATTACACAGCATCCAGGGATGAAGCTTGCCCGCTGGCACTTTACCGAGGCGAAGTCATCGAAAGCTGCCAAACGCCTAAACCCCTGAACCCGGAACTTCGGCCGTAAACCCTAAAACCCTAAAGAGAAACTTGAGAGAAGCTGGGGCGAGCCGCTCTCTACGAAGCTGGCCCAAGACTTGTGTCCATATCGGAAGGAGGCGGGCGGAAAGCGGAAAACGCTCGGACACAGAGTTTGGTGCTTTAGGGATTAGGATTTTAGGGTCTTTCGGAAGTTCGGCGGCTTAGGGTTGAGGGTGAGACTCTCAGAGAGCTATGGGCACCCGGACAGAAGCGATAAAGCCGCTGGCGGCTCTGGCATCTTCTGGGCTCCGCCACAAGGCTGTCCTAGCGCACCCATACTCACCCTTATAGTAACCCTACGGTAACCCTTATAGTAGCCCCTGCAGTCCCAAGGAGCCGCCAAGGTGCCGTTCTGCGACTGGTGGTTTGCTTTTTTGCCGCTGGCCGGCGGGAAGCCACAACTTGATGGAGCATGCTTGCGGGTTTAGGGTGGGCTGGGGATTCGGGATGACGGCTTCAGGTACGTCATGTCATCACTGTCTGCAGGCAGTGCTCAAGTGAGGCTCGCGGACATGATGCGTGGAAAGAAGGTGCAGTGCTGCAAACAGCGGTGCACTGACTCTCTGGCGACAGAGTCATAAGGGTGCCTGTTACCCAATTAGCTGCTGTCGATGCTGGGCAGGCTCTGCCATCTTTCTGCCACGCAATGCTCCGCAGCCTCGAATCGACTCACAAAGGGCATGGCATCTGTCAGCATCTTGTCAGCACGAGTTCTCCTGACATTGCAATTGAAAAACCCAGTCTCTCAGCTGTGCTGCTATACTGCACGGCGACATGATGTTCGGCAGAAGGGATCAGCGCAGCGGCCGAGCATGAGCTCTGCTGCAGACACCAGCTCTTCGAACAGGACATGGCGAGCCCTTTTCCATGATCCAGAACGGGCTGTCAGAAGGAGCAGCTCTTCAGCCGAGCCGATGCGTCAGAGTGGAAGGGCTTCGCAAGTGACGACCGCAGCTGTCGCAAAGCTTCTGGCAACATCCTTTCAGCAGGAGGGGCTTCCGACATTCACCCCACGCTGCTACCATCGAGAGGCTGCTTCGCCCACTCTCTCCCTCTGCGACACGCGCATTACGGCATTCCGCTAGAAGCTCCGTGCTTGGCTCTGCTTCTCGCGATGCCTCGGAGAGCAGAGCGAAGAAAAGTATCAAAGCACACCACTCCGTCGGAGGCAGATCACCAGCCTCTGCACTCCCCATGACTGCCTGCGCCTTTCGGCTTATGGGCTCAAGGGCTCATGAGCCCTTCTTTGATCTACCGGGATATCAGAGTTCAGGGTTTAGAGCTTGGGTTTAGAGGGGATCCGAGGATTCCTGGACTTCCCCTGAATCCGAAGTCCCAAAACTTCCTAAACCCTAAACCCTCGACTTCCCAAAACCCTGAGGTCAAGGAGAGCGACCCCTAAATCCCTTTAAACCTCTGAAGCCAGAGGGAGAAGCTCGCATCACCGGGGAACGGGTGCGGTTTCCGAGCTGGCCTTAAAGCAGCAGCAGCTCCAGAAACCTGGCGCTCTCCCCCGCTTCACTCCGACTCACGGGGTCTTTGGGTCTCCGTGGCTCCCCAAAGGCCTAAGCTCGAAGCTCAAGCTTGCACCCCAAAAAATCGGGAGAAGGAGCCCTCTTAGGCCTAAACTGCGCATAAACCCCCATAGGCCCCTGTGAGTACTCCAGCTCTCTGCCGCAGGCTGCAGCAGGAAACTTGCCTCCGACTTTGAGCTGAAGGTACCGGGGATCTCTCACGATTCGGGATCCTTCTCAAAAGGATGCTCGGGCTTGGCGCCCGCATCCTTCCGACCCACGACAGGCTGGGCCATGGGGTGTAGGGCGCCCTACTCCGTCAAGACTCCAAAGAAGCCAAGAAAGTTTGCTGAAGACCCTCGCCTGTCTTAGAAAGGCTAGCTGCCACTTTGACTTCCCCGACCTTTCGAAGCATATTGAAGAAAACGGGCTGCAAGTTCATGGATTCAGGAGGCCTTCGCCTTGCCCTCGCCGAAGAAATGGAGCAGCCTTGAGGAGGATCCCGCGGCCAAAGCGGGGACTTTTGTCAGTCGTAGTGCAGCTGCTGCGCACGCAGAGGCACACTCCGACCTCCCCCTTTGTTCCCCTTTCCCTCCAAAAAGCCCAGGACCTCCTCTTGAGGCCAGACCTCCAAAACCGCTTCGCCTCGTGGAATTCCCCTGCTTTCTTCGAGGCGCCAGGCCCTGGCTTCGCGTGGGAGCAGCAGCTAAGCAGAGGATGCTTGGCCCCTGCACCGTTCGGTCTCCGCTGACGACGCCCATCATCGCAAGCAAGCTGGCGGAAGATGGCATCCGGAGTTCGGCAGTGTAGGGGGGGACTAGTCCTCAGGGAACCATGAACCCATCAAGCAGAAATTTCGGCTGCACGTGATGCACACCTTTATCTGCACAGACCTCTGCACAAAGAGTCATGACTTGTTGAAGGCAAGTGAATCTGACCCAGGCCTAAGCCCAAAAACGGCGTCTGCCTTCCGCATGTACCAGTAGTAACTAGTAGACGATGTGAACACAACGGAGTCTAGATGTCAACAGCTGGTGCCACGGGGGTGCCGGCTGATTCTCGGACCAACGGCAATCAATCAAGCCCCTAGGTTCGGCGATGACCGCTGAGCGCAAGGCCGGCATATCTGCAGGGAGACTGCGGATTGTGATGGAAGGCCGATACCGAGACTGATGCACGGAAGCAGGGCCTCCTTGGTGAGATGGCGGTATGGCCGCGGGCCTGCCTCGCATCGCCCGCACTTGCAGCTTCCCTTCAAGAGCCTCCAACACATCCCAGCAGAGTACGAGCCATCGTCTCGGCACGGGAGTTCGACGGTTTAAGGCTTTAGGACGAAAGGAAGAGGTCTTTGGTTTTTCAGGAGACAGACCCTGAGCAGACCAAGCTGAGTCCTGTCAGGGGCCTCCCTTGCGGGGGCTCGGCATGCGACGGGCCTCAGAATGCCTGAGGCCACAGCTCGCACCAAAGACGGCGTCGTGAGGAAAAGATGTCAGAATGGCTCTGGACCTGCGGCCTCCTGCGACTTCTAAACAAGACGAAGTCCATGGCAAGTGTGCCCTCAAGCCGAGTAAAGGCCAGGCGTGCCGATTTTCCAGCTACTTCAGCGTGGCAACAGCAGTTTGAGGCTTTATGTGCCTTGGGTGCGTGCATTGGGTGCGTGCGTGCATCAGAAAGTTTGTGCGGCTCCGTTCAGAAACTTCGGTGATGGCACGTACTGACACCGGCCAGCAGCCTTTGGCTGCGGAACACGGAAGGGGTTTGGGCACATGTTTGCCCAGGCAGGAAGCATCCACATGGCAACACGGGCAGGCTACGATGGCCATCGGCGGTTCTCCTCAACACTCACCAAGGCCTGGTAGACCCTAAACCCTTCAAAACCTAGGACCCGAAGCTCTAAGCCGTGAACCTCCGGAAGGACGCCTCGGTGAGTAGGTTCGTGCATGCTTGAGGCCCAACAAGGCCCTACAAAGCACCAGGGATAAGACGGGGATTAAGGAAAACTCGGGGGCTGCACTTCAGAACCCTGGCGGAGCTTTGCATTAGGGTTGAGGGTTGAGGGCTCAGAATCCTCGGGGATCTAGGGAAAAGAAGCAGCCCTATAGGACAGCTGTAGCTCAGAGGCTCAGGTTAGTTGCAAAGCCTCGGATGCTTCTACCTCTGGTGCCCAGAATCTAGATCTCCCTCTTGACGGAACATGGCACTGGGCGCGATGTGTGGCGGCTGTCGGGAGCCGGATGCAAATCTAGCAACTGGTGCTTCTCACACAGCATATGCGGCGTGAAGCCGATTTCCACAGAGGCGAATCCTGAAGTCAGGTCTAGGTAATGCTGTTCTGAGTTCTGCAAGACTCGGACCTTCTCAATGCGACCGACGACTAAAAGTGTGCCGTCACTCCGCTAGAGAATCGTCATTCCATGGTTCAGCCTTCAGAAATGCTGAGGATTGCCGACACTTTCGTGTCGCACCCTTCGCGCTGATCATGACTTTAGCGACTGTGGTAAACCAAGCCAGCCCGTCCATTCCTACAGCCCGATGATGCACTGAAAGGCTTTTGTGCAGAGTCAGGCTGCGCAAAGACGACATGAGGCCCTGCGTGTTGCAAGAGGTGTAGAAGATCTTCCAGCTATCCTCACTGCCACAAGGATGCCACTCTCACCGCGTCTGCGTCTGCATCTGCCGCAAGCTGCGCTGTGCCTTTTCGTCCGTGCCTCCGGAAGACGCTGCCACAGGAGCCACAAAGTGCCGGCGATGGCTCCACCGCAGTCTGCCGAGCCATGCCACACGCGGCAACTACTGTAGTTTCACAGGGGTTGCAACGTCTTTCTGACTGGGCCACTTAGCCTTCCGAAGGCAGTCGGAGTTTGGCAATTTGGAAGCTTAGCCAGCTAGGCAGAGGCAGGAGCAGAGCAGTATCCCCTATGGCAATGCAACTTGCAGCAATGCAGCTTGCAGGTACACCATGGACCCTGCGAAGTGGACATCTCTCACAGCTGGGAGCCTTGGTTTAGGGTTAAGTTCGGCACGAGAGATCCGAGCAGGTCAGCGAGTGGCATGCAACGAGCGAAGCGGCCCACCTGTGGCATTCATGGCTTCTCCTTCTGCGCATCATGCGGCACTTCAACAGCCAGCTTGTTTCTTGTCTAACTTAGGATTTGGCATCCCAAACAAGTTTAAACCCTGTAATTACCGACATCACTCGGTGCTCGCGTGATGTGGCGACGGCATAGACAGCACTGATGGGAGCTCAGCAGCTGCAGGAGCTGCTGACACAGGGCACCCTCATGCTTCGGTCGAGGTGCACAGACGAGATAATGCTGCCTTACATCGTTTTACATCCTGGCCCAGCGTCGCCGAGAATGTGGAAACGCAAGGTGCTGAATCGTGCTCTTAAAGGGCCTGATGCACTTCAAGCTACTTGCACCTGCCGCGGCTCACTCCAACGTTCCGCCACGAATCACGGCCGTCAGATGCGTTTCACAAAGGTAATCCGCATCACGGGACCCATCGGGAACTGCAAATCATGGAAGCCACATGACCCAAAACTGGCACCTTCTTCGGCCACCCAGTCACCTAGCAACGCCAGAGGAAGCGGCTGAGCACAGACCAAGCAAACCAGCGGCGAGTACTCCGCGAAAGAAGTGTTTCAACCACGGCATCGAGCCCTCAGCCAACTTTCACCGACCCGACTTCGCCAGTGACGGACAAGGCACCCCAGGCACGAAACCTAACCTCTAAAGTCAAGAAAACTCCAATTCCTACCCGGACGTCATTGCCCAAGCTTCGCAGCAACTTGAAGGAAACCCCCTCGCCGGTGGAAAAGGCCTGAATCCCCGTGCGGAAAGACAGACTCCCATACGCAGGATGCAAAAGGCTTCAGCTCTGAGCGCCTTTCGCATTTAGGGCTCTACGTCGGCCCTTGAGGGTAAAGCATGGTTATACAAAAGCCTCTGCTCTGGGCAGAGGGCGCACCGCATCCGATCGGTAGCCTGGCTGTGGGAACGGAAGCGTGGACGTCAGGGAGCATGCGACGCACTACTTTGGCCCGAGATGGGTGCACAATGTCCCTTTACAGAACCCTTATAGATCCCTTTAAGGATCCCTTTGAAGGAACCCCCCTAATTTTCGGAAACTGCACTAAACAGACAGCTTCGCTGAGACCGGCAGTCTCACTCCGATAGCTGAATCACTGAGGCCGAGCTGGGCAGACATCTGTCGGACGGCTGGAAAGCAGGCCTTCGGCTGTCAAGAGGGAAGGGAAGGGTTCAATACAAAGGATGTAGGTTTAGGGTTCCGGGTAGGGATTCCATACATGCTACGTTGCAAACCAAACTTCCACTGTCCACTGCATTACAAGCCGATCATAAATGCATGCATGCGACTGGCAACAACAATAACATTATCCTATGGCACAAGCAATAACAACATTAATCACAACATTAACAATAACTGTCAACCGTCGTGGACTATTGTTCTGATTCTGAGTATTGCTACTCTTGTCGCTTTTCTTGTTTTTGTTGTTCTTATCATACCACCTTCAGCTTCTCTAGCTTCTTCAGACCCTTAACCCTAAACCCTAAACCCTAAACCAGCAGCCTCATGGCCATCAGCGGCCGAAGAGTTGCCGGGAGCAAATCTCGAAGCAGAGAAAGGAAGACCTGCCGCGGTTTGGGGTTGAGGGTCGAGGGTTTAAGGCTTCGGGTGGAGGGTTTTGGAGGAAAGTTTCGGAGGCTTTGGGAGGGTATCGGATTTAGGGGAAGAGGCGTAGGAGGAAGTAAGGTTTGACTGAGGGTTAGGGATCAGGCTTTGAGGTTTGGGAGGACGAAGTTTCGGAGGATTTAGGGGTTAGGGCTCAGGCAGTTTCGAGTTCAGCGTGGTTTGGGGTTCAGAGTTTAGGGTTTCAAGCAGGATTGAGGGGTCAGGGATTCATTTGGACTCTAGACACGCTAGGATTAGGGTTTCGGTCACAAGGGTTTAGCGCTGAATGAGGCTCATGACAGTTTGCTTGAAGGGTGACACCCGGCTTATACGGCAGACTTTAGGGCGTTAGGTTTAGGGTCTAGGTGGGGTTTTAAGGTTCTGAAGCCGGCAGTAGAACTTTCAGACGGGAAGGCTGCGAAGAAGGTGTTTCAAAGCCCCTCTCTAATCAGGGGTGTAATCTTTAAGAATTATTCAGGATTCATAAGAAGGGTGGGGGAGTGTAGGGATCCTGTCTAATCAAGGGCCGCTGCCAGCCCGGATCGGAAACGGTTTAAAGTTGAGGATTTAGGCTCGCACCCCTGTGTTCTCCCACGGAGCCCATGCGCCCCAAAGCCTTTTTGCAGGCGTCTCGTGCACCCGCGCCGAAGCTCTTTTGAAAACAGGCCTTCATGTAGGAACCTTCGTTCAGAAACCCCCGGTTCTGATTAGGGTTATTGTAGGGCTCGTAGTGATATCTGCATCGTATTGCTTTGGTTCTTATCGGTATTTTGTGCTAATACTTACATATGGATGCCAAGACATTGGCGACCTAGAAACCCTAAACCCTAAACCCTAAACCCTAAAACCCTAAACCCTAAACCCTAAACCCTAAAACGGGGCTTCTTCACCAAGTTCCCGCATTGGAACTCTAAAACTCAGCGGCTTGTCAGCTTTAGCCCCGGTCGCGGCAGCTGACATTTTTGAAACGGGAGCGGCTCCAGCGACACACTCCGATCTCGAGGGTTTTGGGATGAGGTTTTGGGGGGCTTAAGGTTTGGGGGTCGAGGGTTTAGGGTTTAGGGTAAACAGCTTCCCTTGACAGTGATGGTTTTCTTCGTCTTGCACCTTGGGATCCCTGGAGGTCTGTGTTTCGATCGCTAGCTTCGTGCAAGGATGACCTCGGGGCTCACTCGAGCAGCCCGCACCATAATATGGGTGGTTGTCAAAATTAGGATCCCTTTTTGCGTCCTTAATATAATACGGCACCTATTATTTGGGGTACCCAAAAAGGGACCCTAATTTTGAGAACTGCCCGTATACATGAACCACAGCAAGTACACTCATAATACTCTTAATGATACTGATACGACTACCGATAATCAAAACCCAATACCCTCGCTGAAACTGAAGAACACTCGCATGCCGTCATCGTCGGCATGGGTTGGCAAGGTTGCAGTTTAAAACACTGAAGCCAGTGATCTGAGTGTCGAGGTATTCTGGCACGTCAATCACCCCGTACATCTTGTTATCACAGCAGTTTGAAGTCCAGTAACATCCCAGAGCCCCTTGGACGGTCTCACAAACCTTAGATGCCGAGTCTACCGACATAGCCAACTGCATCTGGCAGGAAGTAAGTTCCTGATAGCCGCAGACCACTTCTCCGGGAAGCGGGCTGGTGATGCCAGGAGTGGCACCCTCGCCGCCGCTGCTGCCAGTGCCGGTGCTGGTAGTGGTGGTGGCTGTGCACAATGCAAGCTCCCAGGCCGTTAGTTCAACAGACTCCATGATCTGCACGAAGGGGAAAGGCTGCCAGAAGACGTAGATCTTTCCAAAACTCCCCAAAGCAACAGTGGCGAGACTTCCCATGAGCTCCAAATCCACCTCCGCTTGTTGCTTGGCCCCCGTGATCTGCAGGGCCTGAACTAGCTTAGCCGGGGTTCCTCTGCCGAGAAAAAACCCTGCTCCGGCTGATGATATAAATCCTGCATTACCTCAAGGGCTCTGAGCTATGGGAATTATGGTATATTCCTGATTATGGGCCATGCAGGATTTATATCATCAACCGTAGTAAGAAAAGAGGCAGCCTAACCCGCAACGAGTGCAAAAACCCATGACTATCAGGAGGTCCTCGGAGTCTAGAAGCCACTGGTAGTCCTCAGCCTCATCCTCTCTGGCCAATGAAGGAACAGCTTGAGCTGAGCACCCTTCCTGCGCGAGCTGGAGGGTCGGAAGGCTGAGGACCGGAACGGGCGTCGCATCCCACTTGTAGAGGTCAATGGCCTTGATGTAGTTGCAAAGCTTTGTTAAGACCCACGCAACGGCGTCGCTGCATTCCAGGGTCACTCCCAGACCGAAGGTCAATTTCACACCCAGGGCTTCCACATGGGCGCCTTGCAGGGGCGCCCTCTCCTGGAGGAAGCTGTTTGCGGGGTCGTAGGCCACGGTCATACCCAAAGCAATGCCTGGGCTCACGGCAAACTTCAAGCCCACCAAGCCGCTGAGCTGTGCGAGCACGCTGAAGCTTACCTTCACGCTGGTCTCCACCGTACCTTCGACCTGGGGACGCACCATCATCATGCATCAGCGGATGGTTTCAGCTGACATGCTTCACTTAACAATATACCCCTTGATGCCCGCCTCTTCAAGAAACTCGCGTTTTTGTTGCAAGCCTGAGTCTTCGTGTCTGGTGTCCCATTGGCCATCTCGAAAGCTCACATGCACTGTCTGCGTTTGCCAGAATTGCCCCCTATATTGCATGTTGAGGTCCTGAGTTCAACAACCCGCTCCCCCTTGCAGGTCAGAGATGGGATCCGAAGGCTAGGGCCCTTGAAGAAAAGCGTGCGAGACATCGGAGGTCTACATCATGGAGGTCCTGGGACACTGAGACGTCAGCCTCGAACTCCATGCTCGCGACCAGGCGAAGAAATACGGCCGGCGGGTAAATGAACCAGGGACCGAAGCTCTTGTTGGCAATCGGAAAGCCCAACAACTTGTAACCGATCTTGCTCATACCTGGGCCGTTATGAGAAGCCGTTCCACATTGTGGTGTCTGTTCCCTCGTTGGTTGTCTTCCGCATATCCTAGGCAAAGGCTAAACTGATATCTTAAATCGAAGCGTTGATACCTGCGTACTTGACGTCGACCCCTAGTGACCATGCGAGACCAGCTGTGACTTCCAGTGAGTTGACACCCGTCCAGTCGATGTCCAGGGCAAAGTGCCACCCGGGAAATTCTACCTCAAGAGAAGGATCGATGGCAATGCTTCGAGCAAACTCCAAGTGCACCTTTTCGGTGACCTGCACGCCAGCTTTGACCGCCAAGCGTCGGCTGCCTGCATGCCTGTCGCCTCCTGTCAAATCCATAGTGGCATCCACCTGCAGGGTTCGAAAAACCTCCGTGAGGGCAGCGTCATGTGTCGTCGCCACGAGGGTGTTTCCCAAGCTTGAGACATCATCCACAAAGGCAAGGAACGCAGTGCCATCGCTGTCCGTTCCTGTCAAACACATGCCTGCGGTCACCAGAGGTAGCTCAATGCCAGTGGCAATGATGGAAATGTTCGTGTGCATAGCCTTGATATGCAAGCTGCTGTTTGCAGTGAGTGACATCATGGTAACGTTCTCTGCCAGCTCGGGGCTCTTTGCCGCGATCACGGCCTTCGTCACACGTCTGTTGTCAGAAACTTCGCCTTGAGGTCCTTTCGCTAAGACCAGAAGCGAAACCATGGATTTCGGCTCCAAACCTCCGAGAACAGCCTCCAGTTTCTCCCCCAAGGACAGGACTGAAACGTTCAGGATGTCGTCGGAAGTCTGAAAAACCAAGCTCTGCACATCAGACTCGGATAGGTTGAGCTCGCCAGTACTGTAAAGAAGAAAGTACTCGATGCCATCTTGGTCGCCTTCTTGGTAGACCTCGGCAGGAAGCCATGCTATGTCCACTTCGCCTTCGCGGAATGAGATCGCCGAGGAAATGCCAGAGAAGCTCAAACCGGGAGGCGTCGTGGTTGATGTTGTTTCTGCGGTTGTGTAACCGGGTGTTGTGCTGTCGACGCCTGGGTTGGGTCTTCCCCGACTTCGGGCGGGGCGCCTTCGGGTGAGGCACATCCTTTGCCCGACAAGCCGATGAAACCCAAAGCGACAAGGCCAACCAACTTCGTCAGAAGGAAGACACTGCAGGCCTTCGGCTCCGCCATGTGGTCACACACGCAGGTGAACAATGTAAGCTCTGAGCAGGACGGAGCCAAGATCCCTAGGGCAAGACATGAAAGCTTCCACGACGGAAGAAAGGATCCGAGCTCTGCACGGAAGTGGCGCACCTTGCACCATGAAGCCTCAGGGCCCCAAAGTCCCTTAAACCTCGCCCTCTTGAACCCTTAAACCTCTATGCTTAACCATCCGAACCCTGGAACCTCTACACCCCGCAACCCTCCATGGAGTCCTTCTAACACGTCTCAAACCTTACAAAACCTTGAAACCCTGAACCCCAAACCTCCATAGAACCCTGACAAAACACCTTATGGAAGCCGTCAAGCAACCCTTGGAAAAAACTCTGTGAGAGCAAAGATCAGGTGCACGAGGCCACTAACCCGCAAAGCCCACACCACTAAACACCAGGCCAACCCTCAATCCTAAACCCTAAACCCTAAACCCTAAAGAGGTGCCCAGAGTTTCCTTTAAATGATCCCCTTTTGAGCAAAACTCTGCGGAAGCCTCAGGGTCAGGAAGGGGCCGAGCTGCCGAGAGGGAAACGCAGACCTCCGAAGGTTTAGGGTTTAGGGTTTAGGGTTTAAGGTTTAGGGTTTAGGGTTTAGGGTTTAGGGAAGGGGCAGGAGTTCAGATGTTTAAGGTTTTGGGCTTCGGCTTGGGTTTTGGGTTTCGGGACCAGGGTAAGGTTCCAGAGTTTGGGGCTTACAGGATATAATATACTCTGATACGATACAAAACAAGATCTTAATATATATATATATATATATTGCTTTATTCTACTATAATACATTTTGATACAGAATCTTACACGATAACATTGATGCTCTATTGTATTATATTATGTGATATCTTTATCTATATCTATAACTATGTTATATATATATACATATACATATACATATACATATACATATACATATACATGTACATGTACATATACATATACATATACATATACATATACATATACATATACATATACATATACATATACATATACATATACATATACATATACATATACATATACATATACATAGGGGTTAAAGGGTGTGTCGGGTGTACAAGGCTCGCAGGGTTTAGAGGGTTTCGGTATTCACAGTTGTTTGTATGACTTTGTCATAAGGGCTTGATGAGAACATGTCGGCGTTCTGTAACAGGGTGCCATCCTATGTGCTTGGAAAGGCTGAAGGGGCTGTATAAGGTCCTGCAAACAGGGTTTGTATGGTTTTAGAAGGGGTCTAGCAAACACAATGTCTTAAACTCATGTTGTTCTTGCAGTGTTGTTCGTCATGGCTTGATGCGGCCTCCATTGTGCGCGCGCTTGACTCAGCACTGAGGCCCGTCTGCTGGCACGGTAAGCCTGCAGCCGGGCTGATTTGGGTGAAGTGCTTTCGGATCATTGGCGATTTGCTGCATGAGAGGGAGAGAGCGAGGGAGTGAGGGAGAGGGGGAGAAAGGGAGATGGAATAGCAGGATACAAGAGGAAACGAAGCAGCTATAGACAAGTACACGAGACCCAAAGACAGAGTGGCGGATGGGTCTGAAGATTCATCCCCACGGTCAGTGCCGCCTTGGATCTCGCCAACACAGCTGCCTAAACCTTACCTGACCCCCATGCCCCAAGCCCTGAACCTTTAGATCTAGCCCTGGCTGAGTCCAAGAATTGCCTGCATGTCGAAGGATGCCGAGGCAGAAGCCGCAAGCAACCACGCCTGACCAAGCCCCACACGCCACAAGGTTTCGTATAGGTTAGGTACTTAAGGGTGGTAAGGGCTTTTCGGGGTTCCGTAGCAGGGTTTGTAAGGGCTACTAGAGCTTTAGATTTGAGAGTTCTTTCAGGCCTCATCCGGCGACTGGTTGGAGTTCGGGCTCCAACAAGTTCTTACTGGCATCGGTACTTTCAACACACACACACACACTAATTCTGCGAGGGACCATACAATTTCGAAGCTCTTGTCTCCTGGCTCCAACACCCTAAGCTGCCCAAACCTGAGAAAAAAAAAACCCGGGACAGCACAAACCCCAAAGTGAACACCAAAAGCTTAGCCTAGACTCCCGAAAACAACACGAACCCTGAAACCCTAAACCTTAAAGCCCAAACAAGTTGGTGTAAAGCTAGTACGAGGGTGCCTTCCATTGTGGTTAGATGGAATGGTATCGATGACAACTGGGGTTGACGGTGTCAGGGTTGGGCACGTGAAGTCTTGGGTCTGGGTTCAGTATCAAGAGCTTTCGACACCCAATGCATCCCTGTAGACCTTATAAACCCCGGTAGACCACTTACATATCCAGTCTAACCAGGACCAGGGTAACTTTTAAGGATTACGATCAGCAGTCGTAGACGTCAATCTCTCTCTATTCAGGAATGTCCTGTTTAGTCTCTGCTACTAAAAGCCAACTCGGAAGATTCCATCTCTGCAAATCGCCTTCTCAAAAGTTTGTGATTTGCTTTCGGGGAACTTGTGGGTTGAGGTTGCTGAATTTGCATGTCCGGGTTCCAGAACGACCATGTGGTCAACCTTTACCACATCTTACAATCATAGCATGGTCTCATCCACAAAACTGGAGAGCCCCGCTGACTCTGCACCCACCAGGAAAGAAGGTGTTGTGGTGACCTGGCCAACTTAAGGTGTTCGGCTTTCGGGCGCGCAAGGACTTAAGGTTCTTTACGGTGGCTTAAGGTTTAGGGTTAAATGGTTCAGTAAGTGCGCCTGAAGTCTCAAATGTTGCCCTGGCTCGTATTGTTGACAACATTTCTAAAGCCTCAAGACACCGAACTGCAATCGCAATCCGATTGACCATGACCCCTGAACTCTCAGGATGTTTCTTTGGCCTTCTGTGTTGGAAGACAAGAGTCTGAGCGTTTTCGGGGATCGTGCGCCCAACGCCACGTTTCGATGACATGGACACCTAAACGGGATGCTTTTCAACCAGACGCGTTCAAAAGCTAATGATGCTCGTTCAAAAGCTGATGATGCACAATAGTCTCATCGTTTTTCACTATACGTTCGGGTCGTTTCTTCAAGGATCCTGACATCAAACCTGACGTGAGTGCTCAAGTATGCCAAAACCGAACCGTTGCCTGAAAAAGTATCCCACCTAGAACTTCCTTGTATTACCATCGTCACCTTCACGAGCATCACCATCCGTGCTAACGTCGCATTCATGCTCGTCACGAACCTGGCAGCAACATCAAGACTCATCAATAACCATGGCATCATCGTTGCTGCTGTCATAATACCGTCGTCCTCGTCGTCATCATTGAAGTTCATCACCACCATCACCGGAACCACGATCATACTCTCCACCATCAACATGGTCACCGTATCACATCACCTATACTCAAAGCATGGAAACCAACAGATAAATGTGAAACCCGAAACGCTTTGCATCCACCCCATCTGCGTCACGCAGAGGTACACTGAGAGAACTGAGTTCCGCGCCCCTTCGCCCACTGCAGTTGCGCCCACACGTGGGAAGGCAAGCACAAGTTAGCTGCAAAATTGGCTGCGCTGAATCTCCCATTACAACAGTACTTGCTTTCGATGCCGAAGGGACTGCTTCCGCACACAGGGCACAAACTGCTTCGTTTCCCCCTCCAGTTTGTTAACAATCCATTTTTAAACTTGTCTAGTTTAGCCTGTTTGTCATTGCTGGTTGAAACTTCCTGGGGTCGAAGACTTCGAAGAAGTTGAGTCAGATGTGCAAGTAAAGCCCCGGAGGAAAACATCGTGATGACATCCGAAGGCTTGTGTGGGGGTGCACACATTTACACGCCCCCCCAGATGCGACCACTCAGTGAAACATCTGGTTTACATCAAAAGTCACATTAAACATCATTTCTTCATTCTTACACCCGGTATGTTGCATTGAAATGCAGGAGAGGTCTGTTCCGGTTCTGGCGTGTGACATCATACAATACCGCATGGAACACATTCGGACGGTGCCGTTTTTCGGTTCTCGGCGCATAGTGGAAGTTGACTTGTGAATTTCTGGCACATTTTTGATCGAGATGTGCACCCGCAGGGGAATATTTGTTGGCGAGACTCTTGCTGGACAAAAGTGTCCAAAAAATGCTTAAACAAAGCACCTTCCGACATGCGACGTCAACTTGACACACTTGGACAGTTTGTTAGTTGCTTTTTGCCAACTGGATTGGTGAGTTCTTGCAACATAGTGAGAAAATTGTTCGAGAATCTGCATCGCACAAACCAAAGTTTTCCCATCAAAAGATCCAACACGCAAATCAAATTGCATATCGTCTGGCGGTGGTAGCACCCCCATTCGACGTTAGCAAAAGTTCACAACTGAGGTGACTTGCACTTCCCCAAGTTTCTAATCTTCTCACTGTCAGCACTTGCTGACGCTGATGGAAACAAGAAGCAACTGATTCCTCGAGCTTTCTGGCACTTCTATCTCTTCCTTCTTCTTCTTCCTGGCTGCTGCCTTCCTTTGCCTTTTTCTTCTCCTTTTCCTGCTTCTTCTTCTTTTTCTATTCTGGTTCTTTCCTTTCATAAATTTACTTTCTGGTGCTTGTGGGCGTTCGCAACTCGCTGTTTCTTTTTGCTCAAGTGCTGGCTTCACGGAGATTTCGCATGTCTGCTTCAGTTTGCTGTGCTTCGTGCGATTTGCAGAGCTTGAGTTTTGGAACCTTACGCAAACTTGGTTCAGGTTTGCAGCGCAGCTGGCCTCATTGGCCTTGGTGCAAGCCTATCCTGCGTACCAGTCTTGGGTTCGCAGGGCCCAAGGTCAGTTTTTTCAGAGATTGCGCTCCAACCTCGAGCTGCAGAGGGCTTTTGAAAGAGTCTTCATTTTCCCTCTTGTGCAAGCTTTTGCCTGCTATTTTTGCAGTCCAAGACGGAACAAACAGTATTTGTACAAGCAGAGACAGAAAGAAATACATCCAATACAGAAACCAAATCAAGTAGAAAAACGGTTCCAAATATGCGCGTTGCTGCAAGAAAAGCAGTAATGTTGCACGTAGTTGTGCTGTTCCGGCCAGATTGACTGGGAAACATTTGAAAATTTGGACGGCTTGGAAAGCTTGAACAAGATCTGACAAGGTTGATGATGAATCAAGAATTTTTCACAACAAGAACAGAAAACTTCATAGGTTTGAACAAAAGTTGAATCGCGCCAAATGATAAATCAAAGAACAAGTGGTGCGAAGGTTCAGGTAAATACACCACGCAACTAACACAACGGCTACACCGAGCGAGAGTTTCTTACAATGCAGAGCAACAAAGTACAACGGACGTTATGTGGCATGAGTACCCTCGCTGAGCTCGCACCGCAGTCTTTTTGTTTCGGCCTGCCGGCAAAGTGACTGCTCCTTTCTATCGGTCCCATGGCCTTCGGCCAAAGCGGGCACCGTCTGGAATGCAAGCAGCTGGCAGTCACAAAAGCCCGGGCTGAAAACTGGCAAGCCGAACCTCGCAGCAACGCAGTAAAACCCCAGACAGAAAAGCGAGGAGAGGCGCTTGCTCTAGCTCCATTTGGCTGGAAGTGGGTCCGAAGGTCGTCCCAGTGTGTAGGAAGCCGGGAGTTTCCCACAAAAGGTGATCGTCCTGGGGAAATGTGAAACTGAAAAGCTGATAGTCCAAAAAGTTGGCAGATTCACTTGGAATCTGTCCTCAGGCTTGAAGTGCTGAGGCAGGGTTGCTGCTGCACCATCCCAACGAGAGAGAAAGTCGGCATCATCATTCTGCCTGTATAGGGCATTTGTCACGCAAAAAAGAAGTGACACGAGCACCTCAGCCGGAGCGGTGGCTGCCCTTTTGCTGCCCATAGTCGGCAGCTTGTTGGCTGGGCGGCGCTCAGAAGGCACCCAACCAGTAGGTCGGCACACGGTCCACAACAGGTCCCGCCACGGTGCCCTTCAGCTCGCACGTTGCATTAGCGATCTGAGCGTGTCCATCAACGGCGGCAGGCAGCTTGGTCGGCTCATCGACGGCGTCGGCACTGGTAGAAGGAGAATGTTTGCGCTTTCTCCTTTTCCCTCGGTAGCGACGCCGAGGCACGTGGTCTAACAACCCGGGGAATTCATCCAAAAAAACATTCGCGGCTCGGGCCTCTTCATCAGTCGGCTCTTGAGTGTCGTGTTCCAGCAACCCGGGCGCCGAGAAGGCGCCCGGCTGGCAGGCTTCCATGTCAGCGCACATGACGGGAAGCGAGGGGCTGAGGCCACTCAATAGCTGCAGGCAACACAGTTCTCAACCGTCAGAGGGCAGTGCATGTAGCACGGGTCTCCCTATAGTCTTGGCCAGACCCCCATTTGGGTCCCGGTCGCGCTGTGCCAAATATAGGTTGGGCGAGGCCAAACGGCTGGAGAAGATATTGTGCTTAGTCTTTGCCTGTATTCGCCTCTGGATTGGCCACTTCACTCCCTCTTTGTCATTGTCGACAGCCTCTGCAGTGACATCTTGTCGGGGAGGATTGCTTTTGCTTCACCCCGCTCGCTTTCACCTCCATGAATGGAGCTTCGACGCTCGCTCCTGCTGCCTTCGGTGTACCTCTGCAGCCACACCTCAACGTCCCGCATCATGATTACGATTTGTTCCAGGTCACCACGCAGGGGGCCAAGCTTTCGTCCTTGCATTGGCTGGACAACGAGGCGCGAATTGCGTGGTTTTGGAAGTCACCCGCGGGCGCCTGGGTCGCGGTGCTACCGGGCGACCCCCGCTTGTCTGATGCCGGCATTGACACGTACTCCGACGCGAGTCAACGCCGTGGGTACCAGGCCTACTTCCGGGAGTGAGGGCAACGTAGGCGTCCTAGACCCGTGTGTTTCTTACCGCTCGGGTCGACTGAGCCATGCGGCTGCATTCCTCGCGGCTAGCGTTTTTGCAAGCAGTGGCACTTAACCGGCACGGTGCCATGTGGATGAAATGAGTGTCGTTGCGGTGCGAGTGCAGCTCCATCAGGCGAGTATGTCCGGTCCCCGTACGAGAGTGACGACTTTTGTCATGTCAGTGCCACACGAGCCTTGCCCTGCAGTCGTTCCGATTGGCCTGGCGGAGTCGTTTAGGTTTAGGGTAGTTCATGTTGATGGAACCAATAGACTATACTGCTTGTTGGATAGTAGCATAACTTTGCGGTGTGCGGTGCCGCAGATGTTGAAAGCCGGGCAAGGGTGCGTGGCACGTAGCAGGGCGCTTGGGAGTCTCAGAAGATAAAGGTTGTCCAACACAAACTCGACATGGAAGGATCCTTACCCCCAGATGTTGCCAGCGACATTCTGAGAAGATTGAAACCCCTTTGCCAAACGGCAAGAGACCACAGAAAGCAAGGTGTTCACGGCAAATCCTATAAAGTGCATTTCTACTGTCGGGGCCTTAATAGTCATAACAGGGTTCGGGGGGCCCACTATACTATAATAAGCAACTCCCACAATAGTTTTGGTAATTTCGGGTTCTACATTACATGCTTCCCTGGTGGTCGGGCGGTTTCCCGAGAAGTTTCAGGGCCTGGGAGCTCAGACCATTGGTTGCCACGGCGCAAGCTACAAGCGAGCGTTGGCGGTTTCTAAGGACCCTAAACCCCTAAACCCTAAAGGGGCGAAAACGGGATCTTGTTGCTGCTTGATCAGGCGTCCGCGATTGCGCAACTAGCAGACGAAGAGCTTTGGCAAAGGATCGCGAATTCCAGGCCGTCCGGCAGCTGGTAATCCAGCAGCTCCTGCGCACATCTTTCAGCGGATCGGCGGCTGTTTGGTTTGAAGGTTCGGGGTTTAAGGTATGCTTTGCATGTGGAGCGGGGACTCACTTTCAAGATCTCCGGTGGAGCCAGTGGCAGGAGCCAGAAGCCTCCACAAACCATCAACTCCGGATATTCTCCTAGGGCCTGAACTTCCTCAAAACCAGGAAATCATCCTACAGCCATATTACTCCGGTCTACGTATATCGCTGCGAGGTGCCCGAGGTCAAAGAGTAAGTTTTCAGTCTTGCTATGATGATGTCCACCCCGCAGAAAGGTTTTAATCTACCGCATATAATAGCCTATACAAGTCTTCGAAAGCCGAGCAGAGCACCTCCTCGATGTTCCAACTGGCTTGTCCATCGAACCTGACCTCGCGGCGCGGAAGAAATGCGGACGAATGATATTTCCACCACCTCAGAAAATTACCGTGTCTACTTTCAATCCAATACTACCTTATGTTGAAAAGGCTCAGCAATCTTCCTGAAGATCTCTGGAAATTAAGAAGCCCGGACAGGGGAGTCAGATTACGAACCGTTTCAGCAAGGAGCCGTGCCGGTGCGGAAGAGCTCAACGGCTTTGGATCCAGAGTCTTCTCCGCACCTGAGGCATGCTTTGACTACTGGAGCTTTCACTAGGATGCTGTCGATTCCTCGTAGAAGACAAATAGATTGATAGGTCAATAAATGGGAGATTCCAAAAATAGGGAACCCTAATATAGGACCCTAAGTATAAGGACCCCAAAATAAGGTACCCCTAATTTTCCGAAACGCCCAAATGGTTCGGTAAATAATGGTAAATGGATAAGGGGCTGGGAGCATGTTGGGCTTCAAACTTGCTTATACTCAAAGGATCATGGGACTTGGCAAGTGCGTTTATTAAGGTAACTATACTTGTAACCCCAATTAAGGTACTTATAACCATACTTACCAAGTCCCATGATCCTCCAAGTAAGGTCCTTTTCCGCCCTCGGCAGCTTGATTTCAAGTCGCGTGGACACTTGTGGGCCACCTCTTCCTTGAGCCGAAGCTCTTGAGTCGGAGTCCAGGCAGACCTCTACGCCTGCCCTTGAATCCTTCGTGGTTAAGTCCTCTGCTCCTAAACCCTAAACCCTAAACCCTTAAACCCTAAACCCGAAGTACTCTCCTTTGGTCTAGCAAGTGTTCTGAATAGGTTCGCTGTTTGAATTCTTATTGGCTTCCTGGCCGTGCTTTGCACCCCGCCAGACCTCTGTGACGGTGCGCCAAACGGTGAGACTTCCCATGGTGCACATGATCAGCTGAACCAAGGCGTAGACGTTCCGGCCGCCAAAATCCAGGATGAAGCGGGTCAAAATGGGGGCCAGGAACCTGCTGATCTGCACGCCAGCAAGGCTCCTTACACTTCCAACTTCTAACTCTTACGCTCGTAGGGCTCCGGGTGGTGGCTCTGAAGCCTCGAAGAGTTCGGAAAGAGAGCAATTCAACCGCTGCTTGCCGAAACAATCTATATCAGAACAGAGAGTGCTTGCAGAAGAGTCGCCTAACTGAGAAAGGCCGGAATGAAAAGACTTACTAAGTTCACTGCATAAGATTCTGCACCCGGAAGGTCTGGATGTCGTAGCTCGTGCCCTTCATGGCCGCCCGGGTAGCCCAGCCCTGGGAGATGCCCATGGAGACGCCCGAGAAGGCGTAGACCAAGGAGTCGGCCAGGAGCAAATATCCACCCCCTGCGGCCGCATAGAACTTCCAGTCAAAGAGCAGGAAGACGCCAGAAAGGGAGATTAGGGTGGAGCCCAGGAAGAGCCAAGACTCGCTGATCCACTTCCGGCTCACCACAATGGTGCAGAGGATGGTGGTGCTCATTGTAGCCGTGCCGACCGACATGAAGGATGCTCCACAGAACTCTGCCGACCATCCATATTGCACTTCCAAGAGCATCATTGTGGAGACCTCGATGGCCGCGACGGTGAAGGGCCGCTCATAACTGTAGACGATGACGTTTCTCACAATCTGCTGTCGCGACTGTGGCGCAAGATCCTGCAAATTGCCGAAAGCCAGCAGAGCATCCGGGACCGGGGTGTAGGGCCTATAGGGTAGGGCACATCACCAGACCAGGGAAGACTTGCCAAGGCTATCAGAAGGAACGCACCAGCAAGGTTGCAGAGCAGGTCTACTTAGTTGCATGTCACAGTATGTTCCTCCGGGTTCAGCTCCGCGTCTTGATCCTCAGTCGCAGCTTTTCCATCCCCCTCTAGGGGATGGACCACCGTCGGTAAGCAAAGGGACGCGGTCGTCAGCACCTAGGCCGACGAGTGCCCTAAAAGGAAAAAGGGTGTTCTTTAATGCGTGGGAAACTAAAACCTCAAAACAAGGGAAGACATGCCCAGTCAGGGTTTGGGCACCAAAGCTTGAAACGCTGCGAGCCCAACAAAGGACCAGCCCATCATGCTGATCGGAGAAATGTCGCGCAATTGCCGCACTGAGAAGCTGAGGGCTGCGAAGCACACTGGGCCCACGATGAAGCCGACGTTCCGACACGCGACGGTGATCATGCTCCAGAGCGTCTTCTGGCTGTTGGGCGTGACGATATTCCACATGGTTTGCACACCCACGATCGGGAGGCTTTGGAAGAATTGGTTTGCGCCGTTCACAAAGAGGAAGCACCAGAAGCACGTCTTCCTCGTCCCGTCGCTCCAGTGGCATGCCGCTTGCATCAAGAATGCTAGGATCAAGTTGCCTGCAAGACTGGCACTCTGGCAGCCGAGGTACAAAGAGCGGGCGAATGCTTGGTCCCATTTCACTTCGCTTGTGAGGGGTCTCCCCAGAATCGTGCCAAACAGTGCAAAAACCGTGGGTGCACTGAGGAAAACTCCACTGGCAGTAGCGGACTGTCCCATAGCCAGCGCGTAATCCAGAGACACCGGCACAAGCATTGAAAGATTCACCATCATGATGAGCCAGTATATCGCAAACGTGCATTGCAACGGTAGGCTGTTGGGCTTCTCGTGGTTTGCTAGCAGCGGCTTTGCCCCGGCAGCCACAAAGGCCTCGTGGGCTGCCAGCAGCAGGATGAAGACGACGATCGCCAGGATCACGCCAGGGCCGATGGGGACCGTCACGTTTGAGAAGCCTTGGGCATTGAGTTCGTCTGTCAAGGGCCCCGCCTGCTTGAAATCGGACTCTGTCGCAAGCCTGGAGCCCAGAGTGTAAGCTTCCTGAAGCCAATTGGTACTCTCGTAAACAGCATCATCATCCATGCAGGCCTCGACCGTTCCATCAGCAAGAAGGCCCAGGCCCAGCCCGGGGAGCAAGCCAAGCAAACGTCGCATCATGAAGACCTCTTCGGTTCGGTTCGGGGGCCACGGATGTCATGCCCCTGACTTGAGATCGAAGCCACCAAGCGTCAAAGCATCAGTGCACACCGCATGCAGGCACAAGCGGCCAAGTGGCAGGAGACCCATATTATGAGCATCGAAGCGATCCAAAAATAATCCTAAAGAAGGACACGCAAAGACTAACAACCATACAAACACCCACATACACGTGCACATATACAAACCCGCACCGACACCCACCCACCCGCCCCAACTTACCCAGCCAGCCACACGCTTGCCTGCGCACGCGCACACCCGCATACATGCGCATACCCACGTACGTACACACTTGTGTACATACGTGCACATATACATACGTACTTACATACATACATAGCTGCATCACAGATACATAACGTACCTACACACAGTATTCACCATAGCTACACACCCTACTCATTGATTGATTTAGATTGTATACCCGATGTGGACGGCCATGGCATCTCAACCCCGGACCATGTTCAAAGATCGTGGAGTGGATGATGCTAAACAGCTCTCACAGCAACTGTGCACTCTTGAAGCCAAGGCACAAGGATCAAGTGCAGTAGGCACCTTCAAAGTGACCGGACCACCGAAACTGTACACGTGACTGGGAGGTCGCTAGCAGTTTGAGGGATCGCGCCCCTCTGATCATTTCCAAAATTGCAATGATTCCTCCTACCAAACATGCAGATGCGATCAGGGAGTCTTTCCGGCCTGAGGCGTTTGCAGTCTCCTGCCCTGTCTCTTGCAGCTGAGCCACTGGATGCACTGAAGATGCCAACCCGCAAGCGCCAAGTCTGCGGCAATTGAAACAACAGGTTCGGGACTTGGAGTTTCAGGTGAAGACTCGCAACTCAACAGCAGCAGCTGCTATCACCGTACTTTGGGTCCTGGTAGCTAATATAGGCGGAGGAAGGCATCCCTGCTAAATCAATGGCAGAACCGCAGCGAGTCGAGGTAGGAGTGTGTGTGTGTGTGTGTGTGTGTGTATGTATATACGCACAGAGGCGCACACACACACACACACACACACACACACGCAGACACACACACTGATGGATTCGGCCAAGAGTACGAGTGCAAGAGGAAAAAGAGAGGCATGTTGTTCATGTTGCAGAAGCTTGTCAGATTGTGGCAACCGTACAACTTGTTTGTTGTCGAATCAACCGCCAAAAGTGGCAACTGAAAACTCTCTAATCTTGGCACAGGGGCCTTCTAATCGGGCTGGCACAGGGGCCCCAGCTCAATTTTGTGCAGGTACACAGGACTGATCAGGTCCCGCTTCCCACTTGCATCCACAGCTTCGTTGAGTGTGGTAGGACGCAAGTGCCACACTCCCCTGCAACAGTTGATTTGGTAAATGTCCAATGTCTGATTAAGTTGAAAAGCAAAAATTGCAAACAGTGTAGGAGTGACCCTCTGCTCCCATGTGCTAGGGAGGTTCACACACACACAGCCCCAATGGGGCGTACATGCTTCAAGTAGAGTGAAAGGTCTGATGCGTGGTAAAAGGAGTGAATGGCGCACTTTTCGCGCTGTCACTAGCGATCGGGTGATTGTCGTATTTCCTGATCCGCACAGGTTCTAACAAAAAGCACCGGCTTCAACGTGGCTAATGTGGTGACTGAATCCCAATCATGTAGTCGTCGACGGTTTTGTTCGAAGAAGAAAGCTGGGATTTTAGGAGTTCTGCCGGTGATCTCCTTGATGCGGTAGGAGAAGATCTTGCGAGCTTGTAGAACGTTGTCACCCAGACAAAGTACCACGTGTAAGAACATGTGCTTGTCTCTGGTGATGCGGTCGGGTGGAATTTCAACAGTCATCCGAAAACATTGTCCTGCCATGGAGTACCATGGAAGGCCGGCCTCGGCAGCCTTTCGCTTTGTCATATTTTTGCTGCTACCAACCGACAAACGCTTGAACAAGGAATGCAAATCAACATGGACATGCTATGTGCTCAGGCGAAACAACAAAGTGGTGTCGTGCTGACACTCGCATGCGCAGGCTTTTTTGTCACGCTTAGCGGATCTTGCAACCTTAATCCGTCCTGAGTATTAGGATCCAACAGCGAGTTTGTTGGGACAGTCACTCATGATCTTGAAATGGCATCTACACCTAAAACCTGCACGTACCAGCATTTTTGCACAAGCGGTTTTGGACCGCTTGTGCTGAATAGTAGGGTGCACAATATCGTAAGGTGCAATCGAGTCAGAAGACCAAGGATCTCGCGATGGAGATCGATGTGCGTCCTCAGCCATGTGTGACGTTGCCGTAGGTGACGCTGATGATGTTGAATGCGAAGAGCGTGTCCTCTTTCGTCTTGTAGTATGTGGATGTTGGCGTCGTTGCTGTGTTGTGGATTGGGATGCTGGTGAGATGTTGCGTGTTTTCTTTGTTTTCATGACTGTTTTGTCCTTTTTGTCTTTGTTGTCTTTCTTCTTTTTTGTCTTCGTTGTGTGCTTTGTTTTTTGCTTGTGTGTGTGACTGACTGCATGGGAGGATGTGGTGGTGTCATCCTTCCTCAGGAAGGCATCAATCTCTTCGGATCCCCATAGGCTGCTGTCGTCGTCCTCGTCCATCTGTGTGCGATCCTAAATATGTTTCAACAACTGTAGTTCTGAGAAATGGCTGCGGAGTCACAACTGCATTGAGGCATGTGCATACGCTGATCTTCAGAAGAGAGAGAGAGATGTACACAGAGACATCAATTGAGCAACCTCGCCGACCGGCATGACCTTTCAACATGATGCTCTTAATGTTGAACCTCATCAGGAATGATGAAGTTCGCAGCACAGCTTTGCTGTGTGGTTGTTGGCCGCCAGGGGCAGCAAATGTGCATCTAATTGTCAACTCAGCAATGTTGCTCACGGAGTTCTTGACCGCTTTCTTTTGTTGGATGTAGGAGTTGATGTAGTAGATACTGTCTCCTTTTGGGTCGGAGGCGTTGATGTCGGACGCTGATCAGGTTGCTCCGCATGCTTTCGTATCCACTCTTGAGATGCGATAAAGTACTCCCGCCACCATGAAGAGCCGTTAGTGGCCCAATGCCATCTCCATTGTGATGCCGTGGGAGATCGCGATCTGGTGCGTTGTTCCATGGTGCTAACACAACTGGTTGTTTTGCAAAATGCTGCGGGAAAGAGTGCATCAATCGCTGCATGCCAAACATATGTGAAGTGAGTGCACTGACTGTCACAATTGGCGACAACGACAATCGTTGTTTTTACCGTCCTCTGCAAAGCACCCGATGGTGGTATGAACATGGTTGATCACCTATTGTTGCGAAGCTTCGAGTCTTTCCACTCGTTGCTTTAGCTCTGTGATCTGCCGGGTTGTTTGCAGAATAAACTCAGCTAATTGGTCGCGTAGAGCCTCGTCACTGAATGTGGAAGGTTCACTTCCAGTTTCGGAATCATAGTCCCGATGCTGTGTCAAAATCTCCATGAGGGCCTCGGAGAGAGCTTCACGTCGTGACTCATCGACGGGTGGCGAATCTGTAGTCACTGTGTTGGTCGGAAGAGATGCTTCGCTCATGGCTCGATGTCGGGATTCCGATAGGTGTCACTCTGAGGCAAAACTTCAGAAGGCAAAGTTATGGTGTGTGTCTGAAAGCAACATGTGTTGAAATGCGAGAAATGTGCACTACCTGGCTCTTTTTATACCAGCGGGCCTTATCAGCATATTCACGACCAATCAGGCGCGTTTTGCCTGATGAGGCTTTCGAGTACGTCGAGCTGCTGTTTGCACGAGGCGAGGATCGCCGTGGTAGCCTCGTGTTGAGTAGTCAACACCGTTGTAGCCTGTTGTATCAGGCGTTCGAGTTTGGCATTCGATTCAAGCAACGAATTGTGAAACTGCGTTATTGCTGCCATAATCTCAGTCGATGAATCCGGATCAGGGTGATGCGGAGGTGGAAATGGCGGGGTCGCCGGTGCAGCCACTGCTGCGTCCTGCTGTTCTTCCGGATCTTGGTGTTGCTCTTGGTAATCTTGGAAATCTTCGTCTTCTGCAACACGTAGGAACTGAGAGCGCAAAAGCGCCGGCTGTGGATTGTGGCTGCCAACCGCAGGTTGCTCGTTGCGGCGTCTGCTATGCTTGGAGATGGATGGCCGAGGACGGCCGCTCAGCGCTTTGTGGCTCGGCTGCAATCTGCCAGTCATGGCACTTTTATACATGATGATGCCTCAGTTAACCCTGTAAATGGCTGCGGGAAGCACTGTGTTGATACAAGGCGGCTCTCATGTTGCGAAGTTGCATGACTCTGGACACACGCACGGCAACTTGGCACAGTGTTTTGCTTACAGCTGTTGATCAGTATAGCCGGCAGCGATGTAGAGATCGCGCATGGCTCGAATGGCTGATGTGGCCTCGCTGCATGGTGTTGTCACTCTGCGTACCATGCGTGTGCGGGCCTGAAAACTGCTGCGAAGTATTGCAACAGAGGTGGCTGACTGTGGGTGTAAAATATCCGCCTTGTGCAAAGTGCATTGATGCGTAAGGCTGCTGTGCTGAGGGTTTATGGCGAAACCCAGGAAAATGTTGGCCGGTTCAGTTTCAAGCTGAACCGGTGGCTTGTAGAAAGATGCGTCGGTAAGCTGTGCAAAAGGAGGCAGTCGGGTCAGCTGTGCAGGTAAAAGAAGGACGCGGTTGTCGACGTATCTGGTAGCAAAAAAGACAGCTTGATCCTGCTTGTTGTGGTCTGGAAAATGCTTGTGGTTCTTGAAAAGTTGTTTGTATGTGTGGTGCCAACACTGTTCTTCGACGGCAACCACGATGTTGCATAGGGCCGGGCTGCAGGGCGAGCCCATAGGTGCACCGCGAAATTGCTCAATAAGTGATGTACCAACAGTGAAATAGTTGAGTCGGAGCACTGCAATGATGAGTTGTGGTATATGTTGTAATTGTATGCAAAGTTTGTTGCCGGAAGAGGCTTCTTGCTGCTTTTGTCTGCTTTTGCCCCTGTGGACTCGATGTGT